CCGCCGAAGCGGTACCTATTGATCTACTTGCGCTTTGATGTGCTTTCAAACTGCTAGGTTGGCAGGAGCAGGGACCGAGCAACGGGAGCTCACCCTGTCGCGGGGATTCAAACCGCCGACCTTCTGATCGGCAAGTCCTAGGCTCTGTGGGTTAACCCACAACGCCACCCACATCCCTGCAGTAGTAGTAGTAATAATAATAATAATAATAATAATAATAATTTATTACCTATATCTCGCCCATTTGGCCAGGTCTCCCCAACCACTCTGGGTGGCTCCCAACAGAACATTAAAAACACAGTAAAACATCAAACATTACAAACTTACTTAAACAGGGCTGCCTTCAGATGTCTTCTAGAAAGTTGTTTATTGTCGCCTGGGAGGAGCCACCACCGAGAAGGCCCTCTCGAGACAGACAGGTGCCAACAACGAACTCTGAGTAGGACTAACATTGCATGCTTTATTATCTATTTACTTATTTTTGTAATATGCACACAGCTTGATGGCAAGAAGGAAAACCTCAAAGTGGTTTAGAAGAATGAAATGACCAATAGAATTTTTAATCTTTTGTTGGAAGCCGCCCAGAGTGGCGGGGTATAAATACTGTATTTTTCGATCCATAAGACACACTTTTTTCCTCCCTCCTGAAAAGTAAGGGGAAATGTCTGTGCGTCTTATGGTGCGAATACGTGGTCCCTGGAGCCGAATTGCCCAGGGGCAAAAAGCAGATCATGCTTTTTTTCTTTTTTTTGAAAGAGGGAAGGGGGTGTTGAAACAAAGCCGCTGATTGGTAAGCAATCGGGAGGGACATAAGGGACGTGATAAAGGAGGCTGCCTGGGAGTGGGGAGGTAAAGACAGCGAACTTGCAAGGAGAGGAGACAGGAATACTAAAGCAATGAGGAGAGAAATTAGAAGAAAAGGAGGAGCAAAAAACTGCTCCAGCTAAGGAAAAGACACTAAGGCAAACAAGAGGGAAGGGGGTGTTGAAAGGAAGCAGCTGATCAGCAAGCGATCAGGAGGGAGATAAGGGAGGCTAGCGATAAATGAGGCTGCCTGGGAGGGGGAGGTAAAAGCCCATGGATCCTCAGGAATTTTGCATTGGGTCACCCCAAATTCACCATCAGATCACATAGCATGTCCATGGCTACAGTCTGCACCAAAAAACCCACGCACCCACTGTTGCGTGGGGCCGCAATGGTGCAAAAACGTGGTTACAAAGCACAGATCCACATGGATCCTCAGGATTTTTGCATTGGGCTAGCCCAAACTCACCATCAAATCACGTCTGTGGCCACAGCATGAACCACAAAAATCATACATCCACTGTTTCGTGCAGAATATTTGTTTTCTTGTTTTCCGTCTCTAAAAACTAGGTGCGTCTTATGGTCAGGTGCGTCGAAAAATACGGTAATAAATTGTTATTGTTTCTATGGGTGTAATTTTTTGGACATTGGTCTGCAGAGGCAGCAAGTCTGCTCCTCCATGGGGCTGTCCCAGCTTCCTTCACAGTCCCTGCCGCCTTGGACTCCTTTGTTTTTTTAAAAAAAATATTTTTTTAATTAAATTTCACTTAGATAACCAAGAGAAAAAAAACAAAACAACAGTTACAGAAAAAGGGAAAAAAATATATCCATACATAACACAAAAATGACATCAATTTCCGTTACAGTTCCTTGTCTTATTCCTTGAATCTTTATATCTTTACAAGATTAAATCTTTTCTCTCCACACCTGTTGACCTCCTTCCCTCCCGATTTCAGGCTTCTTAATCAAAACTTCTTTCTTTTTTCTGCAGCTAAGACTTGTTATAGTTTGCGCGTCATAAGATTTATATCAAACCTGCAGTAGTTTTTAAGTTTCTATAGTTTCCTTCAATATATGCCATAAATTTATTCCAATCGTTAATAAACTTTGTATTTTTTTTTTGTTTCTAATTTTTTGCGTCATTTTTGCTAGTTCAACATATTCAAATGATTTTGTTTGCCAATCTCTGACCGTTGGGGTATTTGGACTTTTCCAATTTTGTGCAATTAATATTCTGGCCGCTGCTGTCGAATATTGGAATAGTGTTTTATCCTCTTTTTTAATTTCATCCCCAATCGTCTTGGACTCCTTTGAAACAGCAAACCTTGGAAGGAAAAGGGTGAGGCAAGCATCAAAGATAGCTGGCCGGGTTTCTGTTTGTCTACGAGCTGACCTTTTCATAAATCTGACAAATCTTTTGGAGTGAAAACACAGAGATTAGAAACTGGCAAGGCCTCCTCTGATTCCACGGTTTTTCAGTGGAAACGAGAAGGAAGCTTACGAATTTCGTTGGAAACGCGATTTCAATACGTGACATTGAGGCGGGTTTTCCTACCACGCAAGTGTCCGTTCCACCAAAGGCCAGAGGGTAGCGTAAGGCCAAAGGATTTCTGCATCTGTGAAACTTTCCCCCTTCCCCATGCCAATTTCATCGGACACCTCTCCCCCCCCCCCACTCCTGTTAAGGTACACCAGATACATTACCTTGCCAACAAAGGTCCATATAGCTAAAGCTATAGTTGTCCCAGTAGTGATGTATGGAAGTGAGAGCTGGACCATCAAGAAGGCTGATCGCCGAAGAATGGATGCTTTTGAATTCTGGTGCTGGAGGAGACTCTTGAGAGTCCCACGGACTGCAAGAAGATCAAACCTCTCCATTCTGAAGGAAATCAGAGAAGACTCCCTGGAAAAGATCCTGATGTTGGGAAAGATGGAGGGCGCAAGGAGAAGGGGACAACAGAGGATGAGATGGTGGGACAGTGTTCTTGAAGCTACCAGCATGAGTTTGACCAAACTGCGGGAGGCAGTGGAAGACAGGAGTGCCTGGCGTGCTCTGGTCCAGGGGGTCACGAAGAGTTGGACATGACTAAACGACTCAACAACAACAACAAGTGTTGTGTTGGGGGTGAAATGAGGAACAGGACTAGGAGGGGTGCAAATATTGCAAAAGGGAAAAAAGGAGTCTTCCACGCTCAAAACGATTACCGCCAGACCCATGGCGGCATTGTCGTCGTTTTGTTTGTTTCTGATATTTGTACCCTCCAACATTTTTCAGATGAAAATAGGGACGTCCCATTCCATCCATAACGACAATTTTGCTCTTTATACATCTTATTGAATTGCCCCAGCCACTCTGGGCAGCTTCCAGGACCAGTATCTGGGGTTGGCTGCGGGGGGGCAGGTACCGTATTTTTTGCTCTATAAGACTCACTTTTTCCTTCCTAAAAAGTAAGGGGAAATGTGTGTGCATCTTATAGAGCGAATGCAAGCTGCGCAGCTATCCCAGAAGCCAGAACAGCAAGAGGGATTGCTGCTTTCACTGCACAGCGATCCCTCTTGCTCTTCTGGCTTCTGGGATTCAGAATATTTTTTTTCTTGTTTTCCTCCTCCAAAAACTAGGTGCGTCTTGTGGTCTGGTGCGTCTTATAGAGCGAAAAATATGGTATCTTGTGCTCTAGCTAGAAAAGCACGTCAGAAGTGGGGAAGTGTGAGGTCTGAGAAGACTTCTCACCTGCAAACCTTTGCTTGGCTCCACGCTCATTGCAGATCCCTCTGCCTGCTTTTCAGAGCGCGTAGAATTTTTGTGCTTTACTTTTTTTGCTGGTTGTTTTTGCTATACTTTGGAAAGCTCTGAGAGCTGCATTCTTGGGCATTCTGGAGCAAGGTGGTACGAACGTTGTTTGGCACAGAACAGGGGAAAGCTGCTTAGCAAACTCCCTTAAGACAGTTTTTTTTTCTCCAGGTATTCTATCATTTTTTCAGTTTTTTCCCCTGGGCCTACTTTGTATAAAGGTAAAGGTAAAAGGACCCCTGACTATTAGGTCCAGTCATGGCCGACTCTGGGGTTGTGGCGCTCATCTCACTTTACTGGCCGAGGGAGCCGGCGTACAGCTTCCGGGTCATGTGGCCAGCAGGACTAAGCTGCTTCTGGTGAACCAGAGCAGCGCACAGAAACGCCGTTTACCTTCCCGCCGGAGCGGTACCTATTTATCTACTTGCACATGACGTGCTTTCGAACTGCTAGGTTGGCAGGAGCAGGGACCGAGCAACGGGAGCTCACCCCGTCGCGGGGATTCGAACTGCTGACCTTCTGATCGGCAAGTCCTAGGCTCTGTGGTTTAACCCACAGCGCCACCTGCATCTTCTTTGTATAGCTCTCCGTAAAAATCAACAACTGCCTACATTATCAAATTTTGAATTATGGTGCTGGTGCTGGAGGAGACTCTTGAGTGTCCCATGGACTGCAAGAAGATCAAACCTCTCCATTCTGAAGGAAATCAGCCCTGAGTGCTCACTGGAAGGACAGATCCTGAAGCTGAGGCTCCAAGACTTTGGCCACCTCAGGAGAAGAGAAGACTCCCTGGAAAAGATCCTGATGTTGGGAAAGATGGAGGGCACAAGGAGAAGGGGACGACAGAGGACGAGATGGTGGGACAGTGTTCTCGAAGCTACCAGCATGAGTTTGACCAAACTGCGGGAGGCAGTGGAAGACAGGAGGGCCTGGCGTGCTCTGGTCCAGGGGGACACAAAGAGGCGGACATGACTAAACGACTCAACAACATCATCAACAACAACAACAGAGGAGGGTGCCCAGCACAAATCGCTGCTCTGGAGCTCGCCCAGATCATGGACTCTGACAGAGACACGACAAACAAACTCTTTATTTTATTTTAAGGGATGGTACTCCTGCTGTGGGTTCGGCTTGGGAGAAAATCAGCATTCTGAACTTCCGAATCTGAGCGACGCAGCGCCATTAGTCAGGCTGGTTTCTCGGTGACCACACATCATGCAGAGATCCAGCAGGAAGGCTCCTTCGTTCAGGGTCGCAGTGGGATTCCCCTGAACGGCTTTGATGTGGGAAACAGCTTTTTTCGCAGTTTATTGGAACACCTCCAATAAACAGAACGGGATTCGTCCGCTGATAAGCAAAGTTGAAGAGTTAATTGCTCCTCTTCATTCGTTGATTAAAAGGGGGAGGGAAAGTATTTCTGGAAAAAAGGCTAAATCCAGGATTCTAACATCACTCGGATTATGGGAAGAGGCAGGCTGTGAGGGGTGGGTGGATATTGTTTTTTAAGGCCCCCCCTCGACACAGGGGTGGGCGGAGACACCCACCTTGGATTTAAGAGGTGCTGGTGTCATTGAATTTCAGGCAGACTTGGAAACTGCACCAGGGCGAGACTGCCGTGAGGAAGGAAGGAAGGAACTACATTAATTAATTTGAAACGAGACAGGCTGCTGCTGCTGGAATAAGTCCGTGTAACTGTAGGTAGAGATATAACTCAATTGCAGAGCATGGCAACCATCAACTTGGGAATGCTCTTCGTATTCGTCAGGCTTGGCTGGGGTAAGTCGGATCATCCCCCCCTCCCAAAATGCAATTTTTACCCAGGATTAAACTGGAATTGAATTTACAAATACGAAAATGTACGATAAGGAAAGTTATGTCATATGATTAGGACTGTGACATGGTCTTTTGAAACACTGATATTGGAAACTGCTACATATACCGTATTTTTCGCTCTGTAAGACGCACCAGACCACAAGACGCACCTAGTTTTTGGAGGAGGAAAACAAGAAAAAAAATATTCTGAGTCTCAGAAGCCAGGACAGCAAGAGAGATCGCTGCGCAGTGAAAGCAGCGATCCCTCTTGCTGTTCTGGCTTCTGGGATAGCTGCGCAGCCTGCATTCGCTCCAGAAGACGCACACACATTTCCCCTTACTTTTTAGGAGGGGAAAAGGGAGTCTTATAGAGCAAAAAATATGGTAATTCCTAAGAAATTCAGATGGAAGAGATTCGAGGAAGTCAAATACTATGTTTATGAAGATGGATTAATTTTAATTAATTAAGTGGTAATATGCTGGATGTATCTTTTTTCTTTTTTCTCTTTTTCTTTGTTTTTATTACAGTTAATCTTTTTTTTTACTATGTTTATCTACTGAAAATAATAAATATTATTTGAAGGGGGGGAAATGTAATTTTTTAAAAAGAGAGAAAAATAAATAAATGCTATTCCCGCCACCTTCCACGACCTTCCCCTTATAATACCCCATGCATCTGGCGTCATTGTAATTTATTATTACAATAATAAAAAGGAAATTTTCCCAACCAGAAAAAATTGCAATGCTTTCCATCTCGACAAAATGCCATTTGCAAAAGGAAAATGTGCATTGTTTGTTTTGTTTTCCCCCATTATTATTTTTTTTAAAAAGAAGATTTCTTGCACTACTAAACAGATTTCGTTGGCTGCTTTCCTCCGCATCTCACCCAAGCAAGTTGGCTCCAGGGCCTTTTAATGGAACGAGGCTGCCCAGGGCTGTTGTAGTGGCAGTGAAAGGACAAGTCGAAAAGGCGAAAAATCGCTGAAAGGATGCGAAATTCGCTTTGGGCGGGAGGGGGAGAAATACAAAAATCTTGGGGCGTCTTACAGAACCGATTGCCACTAGATGTGTGGGCCATAATAATAATAATAATAATAATAATATTTATACCCCGCCCTGCCCAGCCAGAGCCGGGCTCAGGGCAGCTAACACCAGTAAAATTACAGTAAAAACATAATAGGTGGGTGGGAAGGGGACCAATTTAAAATACAGGTTAAGATGCAATATCAAATGCAGCCTCATTTTAAAAGTAGCGCATTATGGCACTGAGCCTTCAAAGTTTTGTTTTATCCTTATCCGCGAGCCACCTTGAGTGCATTTGTTGGCTCCATGTCTACGGAACACCCCGCCACAAGATGTTAACATGTCACCCCTTCAGAAATGGCTTCGAAATTGCCCTTGCAACGCCTTTTAAATCTAAGGCACTTCTAATTAAAAAGCTGGCTTTTTAAAATAAAAACATTTTTTTAAAAGTTTCATATTGCTGTTGATTTTAAGGTCTTATTCCCCATTGCTCTTTCTTAGCTGTTTAAATAAGTGCTGGGATACTGCATTTAAAAACAAAACAAATGACATTTTAACTTTTAGAGCAGGGGTCAGCAACCTTTTTCAGCCGTGGGCCGGCACACCGTCCCTCAGACCATATATTGAGGTCCAGCACCGAGGGCCTTCTGGCTGTTCCCTCCCTGCGAGAAGTGAGGTTACAGGGAACCAAGCAGAGGGCCTTCTTGGTGGTGGCACCCACCCTATGGAACACCCTCCCATCAAATGTCAAGGAAATAAAAAACGATCTGACTTTTAGAAGACATCTGAAGGCAGCCCTGTTTAGGGAAGCTTTTAATGTTTGAAGTTTTACTGTGCTTTTAATATTCTGTTGGGAGCTGCCCAGAGTGGCTGGAGAGGCCCGGTCAGATAGGCAGGGTATAAATAGTAATAATAATAATAATAATAATAACAGAGTTAGATCCTTTGAAACAAAATAATAATAATAAAAATAATACACCGCCCTTCATCGTAAGATCTCAGGATGGTTCCCAAAGGCAATTTAGTCCCATCCATCAACTCCAATGGGCTTACTCTGAACAGGACTACTACCCCGTGGCCCTTTCCCGTTACCAGAGGGAAGGGCTGGCAGGAAGACAGCCTTTCTTAATCGGGCTGCCTAGCGCTGTGGGTTAAACCACAGAGCCTAGGACTTGCCGATCAGAAGGTCGGCGGTTCAAATCCCAGTGAGGGGGTGAGCTGCTGTTGCTCGGTCCCTGCTCCTGCCAACCTAGCTGTTCGAAAGCACGTCAAAGTGCAAGTAGATAAATAGGTACCGCTCCGGCGGGAAGGTAAACGGCGTTTCCGTGTGCTGCTCTGGTTCGCCAGAAGCGGCTTAGTCCTGCTGGCCACATGACCCGGAAGCTGTACGCCAGCTCCCTCGGCCAGTAAAGCGAGATGAGCGCTGCAACCTCAGAGTCGGTCACGACTGGACCTAATGGTCAGGGGTCCCTTTTCCTTTACCCAGAGAGCTTGTGGCAGCAGCAGCCAGCAGGACCAATGGTCAGAGGACGGTGGGGGCTGGAGTCCAACCACAGGGGACCCCATCCATGCCACCCTCAGCACCGACCTCTCTTCCCCCTCTGTGCCATGCAGGTCTTCCCAGTTCCATCCTGACCGTCCACCCTCAGGAGGCACTGGTGGAACTGGGAGGCTCCATCCGGCTGACCTGCTCCACGGACTGCCCCGGCGGCAAGGTCCAGTGGGAAGGGCTGGACATCGAGCAGGGCGAAGTCTTCTCCAACAAGACTCACAGCATCCTGACCATCACAAAAGCCACCGTCAGCATGGAAGGAGCCAAGTTTTGCACAGGGCAGTGCAGGGGGACCTCCGGGCAGAAGAAGGTGGATCTGCAGGTGTACTGTAAGTGCAAAGGTGGAGGCGAAGGGGGCGGCCGGGGGAACCTTCTGCATGCCAAGCGCCCGCTCCACCCCTGAGGTCGCAGCTGCCTGCAGAAGGGGCCTCATGTGGTGTCAAGGACACCTGCTTTGCATGCAGAAGGTGTTGCAAATCGAGGTGCAAACTGGGCTCACTCAGAAGGGTTTAAGGCAGCTGGTCTAGGAATCTGGACATCTCCGTCCCGTCCTTTGACATTAGGGCCTTCTCGGTAGTGGCGCCTTCCCTGTGGAACACCCTCCCACCAGATGTCAAAGAGAATAACAACTACCAGGCTTTTAGAAGACATCTGAAGGCAGCCCTGTTTCGGGAAGCTTTTAATGTTTGATGTATTATAGTATTTTAATATTCTTTTGGAAGCCGCCCAGAGTGGCCGGGGAAGCCCAGCCAGATGGGCGGGGTATAAATAATAAATTATTATTATTATTATTATTAGGCTGATAGGTGTCAATCAGAATCTGAACCATAGCTGCCAACCGTCCCTTATTTGGCGGGAAACTCCCTTATGCCAGCGCCGTGTCCCGCTGCTGTCCCTTATTGATGATGTCCCTTAAATTTCCCGGGTTTCATGCTCGCCCGGCTCGGGAGGGAAGCAGCGGCTCGGGGTCCTCCGCCGCGCAAGAGAGAGCGTGTGCGAGTTGCCGTGTCTCCGTCTCTCCCTTTTCCGCCTCGGGGCGCGTCGTGAGGAGACGGGTGGCGGCGGGCAGGCAGGCAGCCCCTCTCTAGCGAGACTTCCACCGCGCTGCCAGGGGAAGCCGGAGGCGGTGGCGGTGGCTGAGGAGGCGGCCTGAGGGAGGAAGAGAAGGGGATGGGGAGGGACGCAGAAGGGCGGCGCTTCAGCGGCTGCCGCGGTGCCGCAACCGCCTCATGCCGGGCTCGCGTGCGGCATGGGCAAGAGTCAGTCTCTCAGTCAGTCACCCTCCCTCCCTCTCTCTCGGGCAAGGAAGGGCCGGTGGAACTCCTCGCGCCAGGACAACGGCAGCCCCGACGTGCTGCTTAGCATCCCCTCCAACCAGTGCAGCATCTTAATGTAGCGATTTCCCCCTCTGCATCCCTTTCATAACTCTATTTTTATAAATCATTTGTGCATCCGTAGTTCAAATTTTTACTACAAGTTTTCTGTCAATCCTACCAATGTATGCAACTCTTTAAAATAGCTTTTCAACTAAATTATAAACTTTCCCCATTCTTTATTAAAGAGGTCGTCTTCCTGGTTTCCAATTCTGCCTGTAAGCCTGGGAAACCCAGCCAGATGGGTGGGGTATAAATAAATTATTATTATTATTAAAAAAAATTATTGATTTTCACAAAATTATAAACAAATACATGAAACAAACATAAATCATAACCTTATTAACAATTACACTTATAAACATTATTAAGTGACTTCCTCGCTTCCCCTTGGTTGAATTTCAATGCAAATCCTTTTAACGGTTCTTACAAAATTTAACTTGAACATTAACATCCTTAGATCTTTCAATTTTGAAATTAAACATTTTAATTCATCACTTAACTTATATAAAATCCTAAACCAATTAAGTACCTGCAAGCTGTTTCCAATTGATTTAGCTTGACATATTTAACTAAGTAATCATTACATTTAGTTTATTATTATTATTATTATTAACGCCCCACGGGCTGTTTTCCAGCTTTCCCCGATGCCTTGCAACTGGTCTCTGAGCCGAAGATTATGAGGACTGGGCAGCCGGCTCGTCTCGTCTGTTCCTTGACCAAGGTGTATCCTCCGGGCTCCCTGACGCTGACCTGGTTCCGGGGAGAGGACAGGCTGGAGGCTACGAAGGTGGAAGACGAAATGGTGGATTTTGATCAGCAGCTGATGCTTTATCGCTCCATCCTTGAGGTCCCGGCGGCCGCAGAGGGAGCAACCTACAAGTGCGAAGCTACTCTGGAAGTCGAGACGGACAACTTCCGCCAATCCAGGGTGGCCGTCGTGAACCCCCAAAGTAAGCTTTGACCGCGTGTGAAACCCACATGGAGGAGACCCAAGCCTAAGAGGGGGTCTCCTCCCTGCCTTCATGCCTACTAAGCCCCTGATTGCTTTAAGGTAAAGGTAAAGGGACCCCTGACCATTAGGTCCAGTCGTGGCCGACTCTGGGGTTGCGGCGCTCATCTCGCTTTATTGGCCGAGGGAGCCGGCGTACAGCTTCTGGGTCATGTGGCCAGCAGGACTAAGCCACTTCTGGCGAACCAGAGCAGTGCACGGAAACGCCGTTTCCCTTCCCGCCGGAGTGGTACCTATTTATCTACTTGCACTTTGACGTGCTTTCGAACTGCTAGGTGGGCAGGAGCAGGGACAGAGCAACGGGAGCTCACCCCGTCATTGCGGGGATTCGAACCGCCGACCTTCTGATCGGCAAGTCCTAGGCTCTGTGGTTTAACCCACAGCGCCACCCGCGTCCCTGATTGCTTTATCCTCCCTGAATTTGTCCCATCAGATTGAGGTTGAATCCTGACAAGACAGAAGTACTGTTTTGAGGGGACAGGGGGCGGGTGGGTGTGGGGGACTCCCTGGTCCTGAATGGGGTAACTGTGCCCCTGAAGGACCAGGTGCGCAGCCTGGGAGTCATTTTGGACTCACAGCTGTCCATGGAGACGCAGGTCAATTCTGGGTCCAGGGCAGCTGTCTACCAGCTCCATCTGGTACGCAGGCTGAGACCCTCCCTGCCCGCAGACTGTCTCGCCATAGTGATGCATGCTCTGGTTATCTTCCGCTTGGATTGCTGTCATGCGCTCTATGTGGGGCTACCTTTGAAGGTGACCCGGAAACTGCAACTAATCCAGAATGCGGCAGCTAGACTGGGGACTTGGAGCAGCCACCGAGACCATATAACACCAGTCTTGAAAGACCTACATTGGTTCCCAGTACGTTTCCGGGCACAACTCAAAGTGTTGGGGCTGACCTTTCAAGCCCTAAATGGCCTCAAAGGCCCAGTAGACCTGAAGGAGCGTCTCCACCCCCATTGTCCAGCACGGACAATGAGGTCCAGCTCCGAGGGCCTTCTGGCGGTTTCCTCCCTGCGAGAAGTGAGGTTACAGGGAACCAGGCAGAGTGCCTTCTTGGTGGTGGCACCCGCCCCGTGGAACGCCCTTCCATCATATGTCAAGGAAAGAAACAACTATCTGACTTTCAGAAGACATCTGAAGGCAGCCCTGTTTAGGGAAGTTTTTAATGTTTGATGTTTGTGTTTTTAATGTTCTGGTGGGAGCCGCCCAGAGTGGCTGGGGAGGCCCGGCCAGATGGGCAGGGTATAAAAAATATTTTATTATTATTATTAAAGTCCTCCTAGTTGATGGACTACAATAGATGTTTTGGACTACAAATCCCATTAACCCTCACCTTTGGTCAGGGCTGGCAGGAGCCGTGGCTCAAAGCATTGGAGGGCACTGTGTTGGGGAAAGGCTGGCGTTGACGTTAAAAATACAGCCCTTGCTGATAAAAAAGAACTGGCTCGGATTAATCAACTAAACTCTAGTTGATTAATCTGCCAGTGAAAATCTTGTGAATGCCTTTTTTAAAAAAGATGCAAAAACTTTTGGTTCGCAGCCACACAGGTGCCCAGCACTACAGAGGAGGCCACCTTTGCTGTTGTGACGGAAACAACGAGCCGCGTGGCTACTCAGGAGTCGGCCGTCACCGAGCCGCCGGCGACCACCCAGGGCCTTCCCCTTCTCTCCACCGAACCCCTGACCACAACGTTGACCACATCTCCCACCCCAGGACCCCTTCCGGAAGCGAGTAGCCCTTCTCCAACGAGGAATCCTGTTGCGGCGGTGCAGACGAGCTCAGAGAATTCTGGGACCGGGGCCAACACCGTGCAGGTCCCTGTCTTGACGTCGACGGAGACGCCAGTGACTTCGCAACCCCCTTGCTTGACAGATGAACCACCTACCACTACGTCCGTCCCCGCCACGGCCAGCAGCCTCGCCACGCTTGCGGCTGAAAAGCCACACAGTGCCTCCACCACCACGGACCCCTCTAGAGACCCCTGCCGCCCCGTCATCACCCCTGTCCCCACCCAAGGCAGCACAGGAGGCACCCTGCGGATCACGTGCCTCGCGGCCGACTGCGGTGAAGACGTCCCGGTCCGGTGGGTGGAGACGCCCGTGGCTAAGTCCCGGTACCGCCAGGAAGAAGGCGAGGGCCGGTCCACCCTGGTTGTTGAGAGTGTCTCCCTGGAGCATCAAGGGGTCTACCGGTGTGTCGCGATAGCCAGCCAGCCCCGGATAGCCAGTTTGACCATCTCCATCGTGCCTAATGGTGAGTAGACAGGGGCTCCTTTTCCCTTCTTCAGCAGTGTCTCAAATCTGGAGGCAGGCCTCTTCAGGTTTTCTAGGTCGTTTCATTCTGGCCTCTGCAAAAGCCCTGCTGTCCGTCGCGGGACAACCGCCCATCGTCACCTAGGGGGTCCTCCCCTCTTGGCCTTTTGAATCCCTAGGGTCTCTGTGTTGTTGTTGTTTAGTCGTTTAGTCGTGTCTGCCTCTTCGTGACCCCCTGGACCAGAGCACGCCAGGCCCTCCTGTCTTCCACTGCCTCCCGCAGTTTGGTCAAACTCATGCTGGTAGCTTCGAGAACACTGTCCCACCATCTCGTCCTCCGTCGTCCCCTTCTCCTTGTGCCCTCCATCTTTCCCAACATCAGGGTCTTTACCAGGGAGTCTTCTCTTCTCATGAGGTGGCCAAAGTCTTGGAACCTCAGCTTCAGGATCTGTCCTTCCAGTGAGCACTCAGGGCTGATTTCCTTCAGAATGGAGAGGTTTGATCTTCTTGCAGTCCATGGGACTCTCCAGAGTCTCCTCCAGCACCAGAATTCAAAAGCATCCATTCTTCGGCGATCAGCCCTCTTGATGGTCCAGCTCTCACTTCCATACATCACTACTGGGGAAACCATAGCTTTAACTATACGGACCTTTGTCGGCAAGGTGATGTCTCTGCTTTAGGGTCTCTGTACCGGCGCTGCTTTTTATTCCACCGGCTGAGTCATGTAAAAACACCAGGCAGGCCCCACAAATAACCCACTCACAGCTAGCTGGACCAATGTTCTGACTTGGTATAAGGTGACTTCCTATGTTCCAGAGCAGGGGTCAGCAAACTTTTTCAGCAGGCGGTCGGTCCACTGTCCCTCAGAACTTGTGGGGGGCCGGACTATATTTTTTTGGGGGGGAATGAGCAAATTCCTATGCCCCACAAATAACCCAGAGATGCATTTTAAAGGACACATTCTACTCATGTAAAAACATGCTGATTCCTGCACCATCCGCAGGCCGGATTGAGAAGGCGATTGGGCCGGATCCGGCCCACGGACCTTAGTTTGCCTACCCCTGAGTTAGACCATCCCTTGTGGGAGATGTGTGGCAGACTTTCTGGCATAGATTGCTACAGTGGTACCTCGGGTTACATACACTTCAGGTTACATACGCTTCAGGTTACAGACTCCACTAACCCAGAAATAGTGCTTCAAGTTAAGAACTTTGCTTCAGGATAAGAACAGAAATCGTGCTCCGGCGGTGCGGCAGCAGCAGGAGGCCCCATTAGCTAAAGTAGTGCTTCAGGTTAAGAACAGTTTCAGGTTAAGAACAGACCTCCGGAACGAATTAAGTACTTAACCCGAGGTACCACTGTATTTCTAAAGTGGAGGGGGGTGTTGGGGGGAGTTATTGCCTCAGTACCAGGTTCCCCATAGATTGCGCCAGGCTTCTTGCGGTTACGGGAACCGCGGAATTGTACCGCTCACGCTGTCTCCCTTTCTGTGTCTCTCTCCAGCTATGTTCAGCACAGAAACCGCCGTCGCCATCGGAAGCACCGGCTCGCTCCTAGGGGTTGTCATCACTGGTTACGTGGCCCGTCGCTTGTGGCGGCGGCGCGGCTAGGATCCGGCGGCTCCACCGACACCCGCCTGTTCCGCCGCTGTTCTCTCTGCAGCAGTTACCGTGTTTCCCCCCTGAATTTTTCTGGGGCCTCTCCCGCCAGCTGCTGCTACTAGAGGGGACCCGCAGGACGACTCAAGAGGTTTCTTTCCTCGCTTCCTGGAGTCACAGAGAAGAGGCAAGTCCAGCAGAGGCACCCTACTGCCCCGGTGGAGGGCGGTTGACTCTCCCCACCCACCAATCCATAGCTGTCAACTTACAGATTTGAAAATAAGGGACCAGCAGCCTCGAAAATAAGGGATTTTCAAAGCACAGGTACGTTCAACTTCTGAGCCCCTCCGAGCCAAAGGCAGAAAGCCCAGCCAGCAGCCAAACGAAGCCTCAAGCGGTGGTTCCCACAGCGCAGTAACCCGGCAAAGGGGATGCAGCAAGGAAAACCACCGTCACCTCTCCGCTGGGAAGCGCTGAGCAAAGGCGAGTCCCCAGGCAACGCGGCCGATTTGATCGGCACAAGGCATGCAAGCTCCACCCCCCAGTCGTTCTTAGACTCCTTATTGGGTGAGCAACGCAGCCAAGCAACCCAGTTGGAGCCTCCCTCCTCCCTGGCCGGCAGGGAGGGAGGGAGAGGAGCTGCTTCCTTTGAAACCCGGGAACTTTAAGAGACATCATCAATAAGGGACAGCAGCGGGACACAGCGCTGGGATAAGGGACTTTCCCGCCAAATAAGGGACGGTTGACAGCTATGCACCAATCGACAGGAACAACTTCTGCCAAGACTGAAACCATACGCTGGAATCCTAAGAGGTTTAGAAGGTCATCCGAGTCTAGCTGTCCAGTCAAACGCCGGTCCCTCCTTGACATTTTTTGAGGCCGCAACCCTAAGCACAGGTTGCTTCTGACCTCACTTGAAATTCAGTGAGTTTTGAGTTGGCCTTTTTTAGGGTCAGGGCAGCGGGCAGGAGGCAAACAGATGCCCCAGAGTTTTGAACACGAAGCGAGACTGGATAGAAACTATCCCTAGAGGTGTGGGCCCAACATCTCCTCCATTTCTCCCTCTTTCCCAATTCTTGGACTCGAGACGTCAATAGCTGGGTTTGCTGGCTGGCCAACAGACCCCCAAGCACAAATCAAATCAGGTATTTCTTCGTGGACTTTTAATTCTCAGGGACGCAGGTGGCGCTGTGGGTTAAACCACAGAGCCTAGGACTTGCTGATCAGAAGTTCGGCGGTTCAAATCCCCGCAATGACGGGTTGAGCTCCCGTTGCTCGGTCCCTGCTCCTGCCAACCTAGCAGTTCGAAAGCACGTCAAAGTGCAAGTAGATAAATAGGTACCACTCTGGCGGGAAGGTAAACGGCGTTTCCGTGCACTGCTCTGGTTCGCCAGAAGCGGCTTAGTCCTGCTGGCCACATGACCTGGAAGCTGTACGCCGGCTCCCTCGGCCAATAAAGCGAGATGAGCGCCACAACCCCAGAGTCGGACAAGAGTGGACCTAATGGTCAGGGGTCCCTTTACCTTTTTTTAATTGTGGCGATGACTACAGCCTTAGGCAGTCAAGCATCACAGAATCGTAGAGTTGGGACATCTGTGACACGGGAATCTTTTGCTCAATGCGGGACTCGAATCCACAACCCTGTGATTAAGAGTTTCCTTCTCTACTGACTGAGTTATCCCCCAAGGCTCTTCTGGTCTTTTTTATGGAGGGCAGATGTGTCAATTTGCTAGTGATGGAACCTCCACAGTCAGGGGAAGTCTCTCTGGGCTTAAAACAGCAGAGGAAGGGGACATCGCCTGTGGAGAGGGCGGGCGCCAGGCAAATCATTGCTCCCATCAAGTGAGTTCATCCAGAAATGCCTTTGTCAACCGCAGCCACATCCTAAACGGATTGCTTTGTATATAAGCCCTATCTATTGTACATACAATTGTTGTTTTCTGTACAGATTACCACTGCTGTAATTAAACGGGGTTCTTTTCCACATCACGTCTGCTTTGTGTGATCTTAACGAACCTTAAGCCTAAAGCAGCCCCATCTATCGTGGGAAGACGGGATTCCTCAACTGCTTAAGAGGACAGCTTCTTCTATTTCAGCGGTTCTCAACCTGCGGGTCCCCAGATGTTGTTGGACTACAACTCCCATCATCCCTGAGCTCTGGCCTTGCTAGCTAGGGATGATGGGAGTTGTAGTTCAACAACATCTGGAACCCACAGGTTGAGATAGGCTGTTCTGTTTCATGGGTAGGCAAACTACGGCCCGGGGGCCGGATCCAGCCCAATGGCCTTCTGAATCCGGCCCGTGGACAGTCCGGGAATCAGCGTGTTTTCACATGAATAGAATGTGTCCTTTTATTTAAAATGCATCTCTGGGTTATTTGTGGGGCCTGCCTGGTGTTTTTACATGAGTAGAATGTGTGCTTTTATTTAAACTGCATCTCTGTTTAAATAAAACATTTTTGAAAATATAGTCTGGCCCCCCATAAGGTCTGAGAAACAGTGGAAAGTCCCCCTGCTGAAAAAGTTTGCTGACCCCTGTAATAATAATAATAATAATAATAATAATAATAATAATAATAATTTATTTATATCCCGCCCATCTGGCTGGGTTTCCCCAGCCAATCTGGGCAGCTTCCAACAAAACACTAAAATACAATAACCTATTAAACATTAAAAGCTTCCCTAAACAGGGCTGCCTTCAGGTGTCTTCTAAAAGTTTGGTAGTTCTTTTTCTCTTTGACATCTGGTGGGAGGGCATTCCACAGGGCGGGCGCCACCACCGAGAAGGCCCTCTGCCTGGTTCCCTGTAACTTGGCTTCTCGCAGCGAAGTAATGCAAAATGGATTAATCGGTTCCAGACTTTTAAAAACAACCCCTAGAGCAGCAATTTAACATGAATTTTACAGCTCTTGCCATCAGAAAGTTCATTTAGACGGAATCGCTTTCCTTATAGTTTGAAGCCATTGGTTCGGTTCTTACCCTCTGGAGCAGCAGAAAGCAAGCTTTCTCCACCTGTCTTGTGACCGCCCTTCAGATATTTGGAGACGGCTATCCCATCACCTGTCTCCCCTTCCCCAGGCTAAACATGGCCAGTCCCCTCAACCGTTCCTAATCAGGATTACTTCCAGACCTTCGATCATCTCTGTCGCCCTCCTCTGCACACCTTCCAACTTGTCAACATCCTTTTTAAATCGTGTCATCCAGAATGGGACAAAATATTCCAGGTGTGGTCTGACCAAGGCAGAATAGAGCGGTTCTATGACTTCTCTTGGGACCCGGGTGGCGCTGGGGTCTAAACCACAGAGCCTAGGACTTGCCGATCAGAAGGCTGGCGGTTCAAATCCCGCTCCCATTGCTCTGTCCCTGCTCCTGCCCACCTAGCAGTTCGAAAGCACATCAAAGTGCAAGTAGATCAATAGGTACCGCTCCGGCGGGAAGGTAAACGCCGTTTTCGTGCGCTGCTCTGGTTCGCCAGAAGCGGCTTAGTCCTGCTGGCCACATGACCCGGAAGCTGTACGCCGGCTCCCTCGGCCAATAAAGCGAGATGAGCGCCGCAACCCCAGAGTCGGCCACGACTGGACCTAACAGTCAGGGGTTCCTTTATCTTTAATTTAACATGGGGATTAGCAGCTAATAAAAGTTTGGGTTCTCTTTCGTTCGGGGCTCCTATCTTGTTCCACCTGGTGGCAGGTGGGAATCCTGTCGCGACAGTCTTCAATAAAGACCAAGCCTACCGGCTGCTGTTTTATAATAATAATATTAATTTATTATTTATACCCCGCCCATCTGGCTGAGTTTCCCCAGCCACTCTGGGCGGCTTCCAATCAAGTGTTAAAAACAATACAGCATTAAATATTAAAAACTTCCCTAAACAGGGCTGCCTTCAGATGTCTTTTAAAAAGAAGATAGCTGCTTATTTCCTTCACATCTGAAGGGAGGGCATTCCACATGGCGGGCGCCACTACCAAGAAGGCCCTCTGCCTGGTTCCCTGTAACTTGGCTTCTCGCAGGGAGGGAACCGCCAGAAGGCCCTCGGAGCTGGACCTCAGTGTCCGGGCTGAACAACGGGGGTGGAGACGTTCCTTCAGGGATACAGGACCAAGGCCATTTAGGGCTTTCAAGGTCAGCACCAACACTTTGAATTGTGCTCGGAAAAGTACTGGGAGCCAATGCAGGTCTCTCAGGACCAGTGTTATGTGGTCCCGGTGGCCGCTCCCAGTCACCAGTCTAGGTGCCGTTTTGCTCTGCTATTCCTGGCTGGCGTCCTTCCTTTTTGTCCAAGGGAGCCCTCAGATTTCTCCGTTAACAGTGTGCACGTTCCGCATGTGCTTTAAAAGGTTGGACTTGTGGTTGAAGGCCTTGGAGCACTGCTCGCAGCCGAAGGCCGGCTGCGCCTGGTGGGTGCGCCGGTGCTGCAGGAAGGTGGAGCGGTGGGTGAAGGCCTTGGCGCACTCGCCGCAGCGGTGCGGCCGCTCGCCCGTGTGCACCCGCTCGTGCTCCTTGACCGAGGCCTCCCACTTGAAGCGCCGGGCGCAGTGGGCGCAGGCGAAGGGCTTCTCCTGCGTGTGGATGCGCAGGTGCTTCACCAGGCAGGAGGTGCGCTTGAAGCGCTTCGGGCACAGGTGGCAGGGGAAGGGAGCCTCGTCCGAGTGCACCTTGCCGTGCTTGTCTAGGTCGGCCCGCAGCTTGAAGCGCTTCCCGCAGGTCCGGCAGCGGAAGGGCCGCTTGGCGGAGTGCACCAAACGGTGCTTGATGAGGTCAGCGCAGCGGGTGAAGGTCTTGGCGCAGCGCTTGCATTGGTAGGGGCGTTCGCCCGTGTGGATGCGCTGATGCTCGCGGAAGTTCGTCAGGTACTTGATGTCCTTCTCGCAGACGGCGCAGCGGAAGACGTCCACGTCGGCGGCAGCGGAGCGGGCCTGGGGGCGCCTCGGCTTGCCCGGCCGGACCGCCACCTTCTTCCTCTTCTTCCGGGGGCGGGTTTTAGGAGGGGTGCGCCCGGCATCCATGAGTTCCAGGCACCTGGCGAAGATGGGGCAGAGGATATATGGAGGTGGCATATTTATTTATTCATTTCATAAAAGGCATACACTGATTTATTGGAAAAGGAAAAGAAAGATTACTGGGAAATTATAATGCAGTGGTACCTCGAGTTACAGACGCTTCAGGTTACGGACTCCGCTAACCCAGAAATAGTACCTCGGATTAAGAACTTTGCTTCAGGATGAGAACAGAGATTGTGCTCCGGCAGCGCGGCAGCTGCTGGAGGCCCCATTAGCTAAAGTGGTGCTTCAGGTTAAGAACAGTTTCAGGTTAAGAACAGACCTCCAGAACGAATTAACTACTTAATAGTAGATTTATTTATTCATTTCATAAAAGGCATACACTGATTTATTGGAAAAGGAAAAGAAAGATTACTGGGAAATGATACTAGATTCAAGTAGGTAGCCGTGCTGGTCTGCTGTCATGGGTAAGCAAACTAAGGCCCGGGGGCCGGATCTGGCCCAATTGCCTTCTAAATCCGGCCCCTGAGCGGTCTGGGAATCAGCATGTTTTTACATGAGTAGAATGTGTCCTTTTGATTCAAATGCATCTCTGGGTTATTTGTGGGGCATAGGAATTTGTTCATTTCCCCCCAAAAAATATAGTCTGGCCCCCCGCAAGGTCTGAGGGACAGTGGACCGGCCCCCTGCTGAAAACGTTTGCTGACCCCTGGTAGTCAAAATAAATTAAAACAATTCTTTAAAAAGATAGTTAAAAAGACCTAAAAACTCCCTTAAAAGAATCAAGTCTTCAAAAAAGTAATAACAAAGTATTTAAAAGAATCCTTCCAAAAGAATTTAAAAATTGTAATGTAGCACCTTACAGACCAACTGAGTCGTTTTAGGTATAAGCTTTCGTGTTTGGTACAGGCTTCCGAATGGTGTGTGTCGTTTGTGTCTGTGTGTACCGCAGGCGTTCTGCTTTTAGTGCCACTTCTTGATTAATACTCCCAACCCAAGCTTTGCAGTTTTGACTCTTTATTTCTCTCTCCGTTTCGATTGTGGATGGAGGGAAGGAACCAGAAGCAAACATATAAATAAACACAGGCACGTGCACCCAAGAGACAGAGATGCTCGCGGTTTCTCTGCCCCCACATCCTCCTGCATGCTGGTCTTGCAACGAGGCTGAAATTTTAAATAAATTCGGGGGGGGGGGTAAAAAACACCACCACCACCACACAGACTGATTAGCAACACGCACCCTTATTGATAAATAAACAAATACCATGCAGTCACTTCTGAGCACTGCAAAGCCCTTAATAGCTTTAAATTGTATTTTAATCAACTTTTTTTTATTATTGGTTGTTAGCCGCCCTGAGCCTGGAATTGGCTGGGGAGGGCGGGGTATAAATAAAAATTTATTATTAATAATAATATTATTATTAAAGCCCTTAATAGCTTTGCAATGCTATTAGCCGCCCCCCCCGCAAAAAAACCCCCATGCAATCTCACTTTATGCAAACCCCGCCACTTACTGAGCTCCAGCAAAAGGAGGCTGGGGATCAAATTGCCAACGGAAGCAGATAAAAAACTCCCCCAAGTCACAGCTCAGCCGGTACACTAAAAGAGACGGGAAACAAAACCAGCCTTTTCTTGCATATTAAGGGTAAAGTCACGTTGCCCATACTAAAGATGGCTGCCTGCGCCTCACACCCGCCCAAACAGCACGCCTTGTTCGCCCCGCGAGTTGGCGCAGCGCTCTGATTGGCTGCTGCTCCAACTCTCGCGACACTTCCTGTATCCTGAAGTTTCGACGGAAATGGACTGCCATAGAGCAGGAAGGGATAGACAGGCCAAGGGGGGGAAACACACACACACTCGAATAACTATGATTTTTAAAAATAATAATACTGGATATCTATCATCGATATGTTGCCGCAAAGCAGCGCTGCCTTATGCCTTAGCAACTTTACAGTAGAGCGCGGCCTATACTTCCGGTAATTATGGAGGGCGGCGCTCTAGCCATTTCCCTCTTCATGGTGGAAGCGGGGTTAAAAACAAGAATGGCTGCCGCCTCAGCGGCTCCTCTTCCCTCGCTGGCTTTTGATTGGTTGCCCGTCGCAAGAGCGCGAGGCGCGGCCCTCACCCAAAATGGCCGACGCGCGGCCCTCACCCAAGATGGCGGCCGTCGCTAAGCGGCGCCCTCAGACAAAATGGCGGCCAGCGAGAAGCGGCGCTCGGCGGCGGCAGCCGGGAGCGACCCGGTCCGGCCGTCCCTTCCCTCGAACGGCGCCTCGTCGGAGAGCGAGGCGGAGTTCCTCCTGCAGGCGGGCGTGAGCGACATGGTCCGCGAGGCCCTGCTGAAGGTGCTGGAGGCGCGGCCTGAGGAGCCCGTCGGCTTCCTGGCCGGCTACTTCGAGAGGCTGGCGCAGGGCGGCCCTGAGGAGGCCGAGGCGGGAGAGGCCTTGTCGGCGGCCGACGGCGGCGGGGAGCCCCGGGGGCTGCTGCGGGGGCGCCTCGGACGGGCCTTGTGGTACCTGAGCCTGGCTCACCACTCCCACAGGTGCGGCAGGTGGGAAGGCAGGCCGGGGCGGGCAGAACTACAGCGCCCAGAATGCACCGGGGCAAGATTCGGGGCTCTTTCGCTGTGCTTTGGCGCGCGGGGCCTCCTGGGACATGAAGTCTTCCCCCCCTTACCGTTTTTTCAGAGGAGAAGCGAATTATTGTTGTTAGCCGCCCTGAACCCGGCTTCCGGGATATAAATAAAAATGTATTATTATTTATTATTATTATAATTAGGAAGAGTGAACGCTTTAATTTTTTTTTTCAAATTTTTTTAATTGGTTTTCACAACAAACACATAAGACAAACAAACATAAATCATAGCCTCATTGAAAATTACACTTATTAACATTGTTAGGTGACTTCCTCGCTTCCCCTTGGTTGAATTTCATTGCACGTCCTTTTAACGGTTTTCCAAATCACAGTTCTTGTAAAATTTAACTTAAACATTAACATCCTTAGATCTTCACATTTTGAACTTAAACATATTAATTCAACACTTAACATAAATAAAATCCTAAGCCAATTAAATGTCGGCAAGCTGTTTTCAGTTAATTTAACTTAACATATTTAACTAAGTAATCATTAAATTTACTCCACTCTTCCTGATACTGCTCCTCCTTCTGGTCACGGACTCTTCCAGTTAGGTCGGGTAGCTCCGAAAAATCCATCATCTTCATCTGCCATTCTTCTATCGACCCCCCCCCCCTTTTTTTCAGAGGAGAAGCGAAATAGGAAGAGAGAACGCTTTAAAAACAAATTATTTTTTAAAAAAATAAGTTATTTTATAGCTGATGTACAATTCCCCTCGTTTTTATATATTGGGTTCAGTTGAGGGGATTTGTTTATTTATTGATCTTTTCTCTTCATTGCATTTATTTTTCTAAAAAAAAATAATTCTGTTATTTCCTCCATGGACCACAAGAAGAGAAGAAGAAGAGTTTGGATTTGATATCCCGCCTTTCACTCCCTTTTTAAGGAGTCCCAAAGCGGCTAACATTCTCCTTTCCCTTCCTCCCCCACAACAAACATTCTGTGACGTGAGTGGGGCTGAGAGACTTCAGAGAAGTGTGACTGGCCCAAGGTCACCCAGCAGCTGCAGGTGGAGGAGCGGAGACGCGAACCCGGTTCACCAGATTACGAGTCCAACGCTCTTAACCACTATACCACACTGGCTCTCCTATATCACAAGGAAGCTGTGTTTTGCGGCTGCTCGCCCTCTGTATTTTACCTTCACAACAACCTTGCCAGGTAGACTGGCGAGAGGTCAGTCGGCCCGGTGAGCTTTGTGGCAGAGCAGGGATTCGAACCCAGGATGGTACCCGGGTCGCTCTTAGTTGCTGCACGGCTTTCCGTGATCATATGACGGAAACTGGGCTGCTTGGCCCTTTCACTTCGAAACAGCGCTGCCTAGCGGTTAGCGCGCTGGACAGGGAAACGGGGGTTAATAAAATCCCTTGCCTTGGGCCAGCCGCAGTCTCTCAGCCTTACCTACCTTGAAGCACATGACCCACTGAGTCAATGCAGCTCTCTCCACAGGGACATAACTCCACAGGGACCCTCAAGTACAGCTGAAGGCAGGATATTCAATCTTGCGAAAGTGAAAGTGTGTCTGTATTTTGGAATTGTTAAATTCTGCAAATGGGTTGCCTGAGTGTCAAAATGACTAGGTGGGAAATAATCATGTTGTTGTTGTTGTTTAATCATTTCGTCGTGCCCGACTTTTCGTGACCCCCTGGACCAGAGCACGCCAGGCCCTCCTGTCTTCCACTACCTCCCGCAGTTTGGTCAAACTCATGCTGTTAGCTTCGAGAACACTGTCCCACCATCACATCCTCTGTCGTCCCCTTCTCCTTGTGCCCTCCATCTTTCCCAACATCAGGGTCTTTTCCAGGGAGTCTTCTCCTCTCATGAAGTGGCCAAAGTCTTGGAACCTCAGCTTCAGGACCTGTCCTTCCAGTGAGCACTCAGGGCTGATTTCCTTCAGAATGGAGAGGTTTGATCTTCTTGCAGTCCAGGGGACTCTCAAGAGTCTCCTCCAGCACCAGAATTCAAAAGCATCCATTCTTCGGCGATCAGCCTTCTTGATGGTCCAGCTCTCACTTCCATACATCACTACTGGGAAAACTCACTGCCATACATCACTACTGGGAAAACCATAGCTTTAACTATACGGACCTTTGTTGGCAAGGTGATGTCTCTGCTTTTTAGTCAAAATGACTAGGTGGGAAATAATCATACCGTGGACAAAATTTCCTTACCGTAGCCCGATTATTCTCTCGCTTGATATCACATAGGGCGCCGTTTAGTTAAATTATCTGTTTTACCAGTGATTTGTTTTATGTTCCTTCCCGTAGGATGGCCTTTAACAACAACGTCAGTGTGGCCTATGATTCCCTGTCCGCCGCCGGCAGGCGCAAGAAGCCCGGAATCAGCGGGAAGCTCTACAGCGAGCTGCTGAGACTGATGTGCCAAGACAAGGGCACCCCGGAAGACATTGCTCTGCCCCTGCTGAGTAAGGTCTCCTGCCGAGACCACGAGGCGGTGCCCTTTGACATCTTCCGCTACGGGGTCCTCACCTGTCTGGTCCTCCTCGAATTCCTGGCCAAGGCAGACTTGCTTTTCAACGCACTGGGCGGCGGCTCGGGGGCGGCGGACAAACGAGTCTGTGCGGCAGTCCTCGCGACCCTGGAAGATGCCCTTTGCCCCGCCGAGGTCGCGGCCCCCATCCGCTTCCTGGAGGCCGGGTCCAAGCTTGGGCCGGATGGCTTGGCTTCGGCTATGGACAAAGCGCTGGCCGAGCGGAAACCCAGCGTGGCCATGAAGAAAGAGGAGTTCCTCCAAAGAGCCTCGTCCATCTTCGTGGCGAGAGTGAAACCCGTCGAATGAGCTTTTAAGAGGGGTAGGTGGGTTTGTGTGTGTTTTTTGTGCTTCATCTGATCACCAACCTGGCTGTTCATCTAGGATGGAGAGACAATGCCAACTTCTTGTTTTGGGCCGGCGATGGAGAGAGATCGAAACGGAGCAACAGTGGACCGGCTTCGCTTTCTGGGGTTCAGTAGAGCTGCATGACTGATGTCCGAAACTGCTGCTCTTTGTTGAGTAAATCTCATGTCAAACACTGGATAGGTTTGAAGGATGATGGAGATATTTAAATTGGGTTATTTATATTGCAAATTGTCTCAGATTTGTTTCTTTCCTCTTCTTTCATTACACCGCACAAGTCATTGCGCCAGTCCACACCTTTTCTGGGTGTGCCCAGAATGTGGTCCCGGCTGCCCACCTTCCCCAGTCAGATTTTGGAAATCTGCACACAAGACCGGTGTTTTTTTATTGTGCTTTTTTTGCTCTCAATGCTGAACTGTGTTGTAAGGTCAGCTTAGACTTTTTAGGTTTATTTATTACAGTGGTACCTCGGGTTAAGTACTTAATTCGTTCCGGAGGTCTGTACTTAACCTGAAACTGTTCTTAACCTGAAGCACCACTTTAGCTAATGGGGCCTCCTGCTGCTGCCGCACCGCTGGAACACAATTTCTGTTCTCAACCTGAAGCACTATTTCTGGGTTAGCGGAGTCTATAACCTGAAGCGTATGTAACCCGAGGTACCACTGTATTTCAGAACATAATACAGTGGTACCTCTGTTTGCGAACGGGATCCGTTCCGGAGCCCTGTTCTCAATATGAGCAGAATGCAATCTGCGCTTGCGCGGGTCACGATTCGCCGCTTCTGCACATGCGCATGACGTCATTTTGAGCGTCTGCGCATGTGCGAGCAGCGAAACCTGGAAGTAACCCTTTCCGGTACTTCCAGGTTGCCGCGGGACACAACCTGAAAAGATTTAACCTGAAGCAAATGTAACAGGAGGTATGACTACATCGCTTGGTTGTTTAAAATAAACCACAAAAAACTCAAAAGTGGTTTTTGGAAGGAATTAAACAATACAATTTTCTTCAAAAAGGAAAAAAAGAAACAGCTTAGAAAACCACAATTTAAAACATTCAAAAATTTGGGAATAAACTAAAAGCAGGATAGAACACACTTCGGCATTCTAGATATATGGACGGGATTGTCTTAACAAAAGTGTTTTTAGCCCACACCGAAAATAGTGCAGTGAAGGTGCCTGAGATCAACAGGCAGGGAATTTCAAAGTGTACAAATGCACTTTGGAACTCCCTGCCTATTGATGTCAAGTAGGTACCTTCACTGCACTCTTTTCGGCGCTTGTCTGGTGCTCAGGCCTGTTTCCAGGCTACATCTCCACACACTCTTTGCCTGACTCGGATGTACAGTGGTACCTCGGGTTAAGTACTTACCGTATTTTTCGCCCTATAGGACGCACTTTTTCCCCTCCAAAAATGAAGGGGAAATGTGTGTGCGTCTTTTGGGCCGAATGCAGGCTTTTGCTGAAGCCTGGAGAGCGAGTGGGGTCGGTGCGCACCGACCCTCTCGCTCTCCAGGCTTCAGGAAGCTATCCGCAAGCCTTGGGAGCCCGCGGGAGTTCCCGCCGGGTTCCCAAGGCTTGCGGACAGCAGCCTGCAGCCCGAAACCTGGGGAGCGCAGCAGAGCGCGCCCCAGGCTTCGGGCAGCTCTCTGCAACCCTCGGGAGCCCGGCACGAAGTCACGCCGGGCTCCCACGGCTTGCGGGGAGCTGCCTGTTCTGGGGGCTGGGGTCGGGGGAAGCTCGGGCTTCCCCCGCGCCTGGGGGGGGGGAAATAATTTTTTTTATATTTTCCCCCCAAAAAACTAGGTGCGCCCTATGGGGCAAAAAATACGGTAATTTGTTCCGGAGGTCCGTTCTTAACCTGAAACTGTTCTTAACCTGAAGCACCACTTTAGCTAATGGGGCCTTCTGCTGCTGCCACGCCGCCAGAGCACGATTTCTGTTCTTATCCTGAAGCAAAGTTCTTAACCTGAAGCACTATTTCTGGGTTAGTGGAGTCTGTAACCTGAAGCATATGTAACCTGAAGTGTATGTAAGCCGAGGTACCACTGTATCTTTGAACTGAGAGAATGTCACTCGCTTGCCTGATGAGGGAATGTCTTTGTTCCTCTACAGAAACCTCTTGACTTTTGCATAGCTGGGATAAGCAAAGGTAATTGTAGAGCAGGGGTCGGCCGGTTCACGGTCCTGCAGACGCCGCAGTGGGCCGGAGTGCACAGGCACGCATGCGCAAACTCTATTTCCGGCGCTCCTTTTGGCGCGGAGGAGGCGTGCGCAGCTTCTCATTGGCTGCAGGAACTTCCAGAGGTTAAACTAACGCCTTTCCAGCCCCGGGAGGAGCGTTCATGTGACACACCTACTACACACTGCAGCCGACACACTAACATGTCGCGACACACGGTTTGGAAAGCTCTGGTATAGACAAAAAATACCTTTAAGGTCAGCCAGATGCCTTTTATCCTGGTAAGATCACTGAAATCTTTGGAGAAATTATCTGCAACTCATTCCCCACAACCTTGTGCTCAGCTGCGCAACCCATAAACTCCTAGAAGCTGTGCATTCACTGCAGTGAGCCCCAAGGCTGTTTTTATTATCTTCATTTTAACAGATTTCCATGGTGTTTTAATACTGTTACTGTTTAATTAAATGTTGTTGTTGTTTAGTCATCTTAGTCGTGTTCTGCTCTCTGTGACCCCATGAACCAGAGCATGCCTTGGAAACACTCACTTTCTACTCAAAGCTTCTCCTTTTTTTATGTCCATGGAGTTTTCTTGGCAAAATACTGGAGTGGTTTGCCAGTTTCTTCTCCAGGTGGATCACATTTAGTCTGAACTCTCAGCTATGACCTGTCCATCTTGGGTGGCCCTGCACGGCATAGCTCATAGCTTCTCTGAGTTATTGAAGCCCCTTCGCCACGACAAGGCAGTGATCCATGAAGGGGTTTAATTAAATAGTAATTATAATTGTTGAA